TTGTCCCAGAAGTGGAACTCTGGAATGCTGTTTGCTGCTTTCCACATCTGTCACATCTGTCTTCGTTCCCTCTTCCTGAATTGCTTTTTTTTTTTTTTTTTTTTGATATGAAAAGAAAAATATTATTTGATCTCTGCCAGTCTACCAAGGCATGTGATGTGCTCACAGCAGAGAAGCTGCTATTTTTCTACATAAAGTGGAGTCACTCTCTCTAGTTAGAACGGGAAGTGCCTTGGTGTGCCAGATAGGTGGCATTATAGTTCTTGGTAGAGTATGTTAATGTTTCAGTATTTATTTCTGTTTTTTCAATATTTCATTATTTGCAGTATTTGGATAAGTCCTTAAGCACTCAACTGCATTGGCTCAAAATGTTTGTCATTGCACTGACTGCAGTGGCATATGTTAAACACATCTTTGGAGGGGTGTCCTGCACTGCCACTGCAACCCAGCCCAGCCAGATCCTGCTGTCACGATACATCATTGTTATGACTGAGTGCAACTGAGTGCAACTGAGTGTAGAAGAAGAAAGCACCTTGCTACAAGCCAAGAAATATTGCTAGTGTCATCTTCACTGGGGTCTTTCATCACACTGAGACAGAATAGTAGAGGTCTTTATCTAAGGCTTTCAGACAAGGAAGTTTAAATATGAAAAGACATGCCCTGCTCAGTTTCAAAATTCAGCTCTGTCGTGAAGGAGGCTCTCTCTCCATCTGAGGGCAGTTCACATCGGCTTTGTATTTCACGGTGGAACTCTGCCAGCTTCCAAACAGAAGAAGTCTCTTTGTTTTGTAGAGGAGGTGGGAAGATGTGCTCTGAGGAGAGCCCTGGCTATCACTGGTGAATAAAGTCCAAGGTGCTCGGCAGTCCTGGGTAGTTGCAAGTGGTCAGTCTTTAGCAGCTGTGAGGATCATGTAGTAAGCAAAGAATTGTAACTTAGCTGAAGTACAATTTTCTCCTACATTTATTGTGGGTTTTGTAATTTGTGGGGAAATAATTATTAGCTAACTTTTCAAGACTATTTTCCATTAGGTTCATAGGTGTTATTCTGCCTCCGTGTTGCCTGTAAAGTGTGACTGCTGTGGGTTTGAAATGGGTGAAACTTTGGAGCATATTTGGGCAAAATATAAGCTTCATCTGGGAATGGCTGCTCTTCGTAATAAACAGCTTAAAATACCAGTTCACAATAAATAGAAGTAAATTTGTTTTGTGCCGGCTTTTATCTCTTTGTCACCTGCACCTTTTTAAATATCCTAGAAGCCCTTCAGTAACAAAATCACTGAATCTTACCTTGCTTGATTGAGAACCAAGGAGTTCCAATTTGCTGAAACCAAGGCTGGCATGGATTATGGCTACACGTTCAGAGTGCTGCCTCACTAGGTACACATGACTGCATGTCTCCCATCACTGCCTCAGCTCTGTAGTCTGATTTACAAGATAGACTCCTGTGTTGGCAAAATGTGTTACTGCTGACTGCTCTCTTGCACCAGTGAACTGAGATATTAAAATGGATGTGATCAAATCCAATTTGAACTACCTCAAGTTTGTCCAAGAGATACTTTTGAAGAACCATATACACTTCTTTTTTTATCTTCAGATTTTATTTTTAGATTTATCACTTTAAGATTTGCATATGCAGAACTCCATGTAATGTTTGGCTAGTTATTATTATTATTATTATTATTATTATTATTATTATTATTATTATTATTATTATTATTATTATCATCTTAACAATTAATATTTTTATAATGTTGCTCATGGAGGTGGTGGCAGAGGGGATTTTATGCCATCTGTCCCTGTGATCTTAAAATTATTATATAAAGTATTAAATTGGATGGACTAGATGGATTTAAAATAGAACAAAACAATGTATTTAAATTGTTTGTAATATCTAAAATTCACCTTGATAATTTGGCACAGTAAAACGAAAGGAAAAAAAAGAAAGTAAAAGAGTCAAAAAAGTATTTTGAAGCTGTTTTTTCCAACTTGTGATCACACTTCGGTAAGTGGTCTGTGCAACACTGTCTTGATAGAATTTTGAGTTATAAGTTTCTTGATGAGGACAATGTTAAATACAACATTTTAACTGTATTTAATAATTAATAATTAATACAGCATTTTAAGAGCAATATAATTATTCAATCTTATATTCTTCTGCTAAACTGAAAATTTATTTTGATAAAAATCAGTTTGTGAAGAAAAGTGGGAAAATTGCGATGTGTACTCTGGCATACTTTCCTATCTAAAGAGTTACATAGTTTCTTAAATCCTTTTTAAAACAACTTTTCTGCTGTTCAAAGCGTCGTTTCTGGAATACACTGCCCCTTAAATTTACAGGATGTATAAGTTGAAGGGGTAATCACCCCTTCATGTTACATGTCATCACATAAACCTCTTCTTGGAAAAAAGAATGGAATTGTAGCATGGTTTAAGTGCGTGAACTTGCTGCCTCTGGTGTGCTATGTGGGGGAATAAATGGCTTTCAGTCATGTAAACTAGTATCAGATATTCATCTCCTTTGAAGTCTAATAAGAAATGCACACTTACTTTAAATAAGCATCTAAGCATATAAATGTCGCGATCAAGTCATCAGAAAACAAATACTAAAAGGAGTTTTCTATTTACATTTTTTTTTTTTTTTTTCTGTCTGAAATCTCTATTTTGCTCCGTGTCTTTGCTTCGGATATGTTTCCTGCTGAGAAGGACAGACTGGAATCACAGTGGGGATCTTTGCCTTTTAAGTTGCTCTTTGCTTTTGCAGAGGGCTGTGTGCTGGAAGACCCAGTGTATTTGTCCAGTGTTTTGCTCGGCATGTGAGAAACATGACTATTTAAGAAAGGCAGGAAACTATTATTTGGTCATTTTAGCTACATTTCAATTGCAAGTGCTGAAAGAGCAGACGGAAGTTTAAATACATGTCTTAAGGTACATGAATACAAATCAGTTCAGCTTTTGTGCTCCTTGTCTTTGATCAGGAAATTCTGAATCTTGAATGAATGTGTAAAAGACTAATTCTGAGTTAAATTTACCACAACTATAATTTCACTGCTTGTGTTTACCCAAAGTGCTTCTCTGAAATTATTTTTCTCCTTTTCTTAATGGCATACGTGTACAGCTACACAGCTACTGTAGTAGATTCAAACTGTAGCATGTTTTACAAACAGAGCTTGATTTTATTTATTTATTTATTTATTTAAAATACAAACTCATGCCCCTTTGTCAAAGTCAAAGGATACATGCTTTGTATGCTAATTTTCTCTGCCAGGTAATTTAGCTTCCATTCCCTTGTTGATTTTTTTTTTTTTTTTTTCAGCATGACAAACTAAATGTTATGGTGCTTCCTGTCCTTCAGGCATATTTTTCTTCAGAAAGTTAATATATTGATAAAGAGTAATACAGGACCAGAATTTCCTATTATATTATACTGGTGTGGATTTAACTTATTCACCAACTGTAGTATTATCTTACTTCCAAGTTTTTTTTTTTTCAATTGCATAAAATTCATCAGATTAACAACAGTCACGTGGCCACAGCTATACTGTGGTTCCAGTCCAAATGCTACCAAAGTCAAAGACTTTTCATTGTCGTCAGTGAGATTTAGATAAAGCTCATTGTTTTGATACTCTTTCCATCAGTGCAGTATCAGATAACAGAAATAACTGCTCTAAATATCAGCGTCTTCTGATACTTTGCACTTCTGTTCTGAGAAAACATCCAAGCAAATATGAATATAACCAAAGTAAATTCTCTCCCTGTGAATTCAGAATGACTATTTAACTAGCTTTAATATTTTGATACCCAGTACTAAGTTTCACCCACAGTTCTTCACATATAGGTGACGGCTTAGAAGACAGTTAGACTGTTTAAGAAGGATGAGGAAAAAGAAATTGAATAAAATAGTGTGGTTATAAAAATCTTCTGTTTTATTAGAAAGTTCTGGAATACTTCTGTTTTCTGTTTTTTTGTTTGTTTGTTTGTTTTGCTTTGTTTTGTTTTTTAATGTTGGCAGTGCTTGTAAGTTTGCCCATAACCTCAACGCTGAAATGGAGAATTAATCTGTTTCCAATTTGAACAGTGTGTGATCTCCACTTCTGTCTTCCCCAACCCCTAAAGCTCATGTAGTTGAGCAGTTCTTAAGCTGGCTTTCTGAGTTGTAGTCCTCAGCTTGAAAGTGTTGCAGGAGGTATGCTTTATGGGTGTTTCTGCTTTGGGAACTCTGACAGTAGCTGATAAAAGTATTTCTTAATGTAAGTTCTGGGACACCATACATCTTTACTTTCATGGGTTCACAGAACACAAAACAAAATATGAAATGATCTTACATGTATATTTCCAATTGTCCATCTTCTAACCCTTCCTTAGAAGTTTTGTTATATTTGTTTCAGCCTAGTTGTCTCCGCGAAACTGGAAAAAATATTTGTGCAACTCATGCTGTCTGCCCTCTTCCTTTTTCTGCTTGTTCCATACCAGCACCACCTGTCCAACAAGTGTTCACACCTCATTTTTTCCTGGGGATGAGGCTTTTCTAGTGGTTTATGGCTTCTTTGGGTTTCTCAGATCAGTAACTTTTGCTCCATTAATTCCAAATCAACTGATTCAGATACCAGAACTCTTCAGTGGACTAAGCAAAGAGCTTCTCCAGTCTTTTTTCACTTATTTGAAGTACTGCAGGAAGTACTCCAGTTGTTTTGCACATTATTCTTCTCTTCTGTGGTGAAAAACGATGTCTGTTTTATTTCTGTGGCCTTCTGTGTTAAAACATTGTGCTGTGAACTGCTGGCATATTTGTAGCATATGCTCGCATTCATAAAAATGCCACCAAAACATTAATAGCACCAACTTGAGAAAGAGAAATTGTGAGCGTATCTTGCTTTCACCACTGTAATAGAATGGGTAGTTTAGATGTTCACAGCAATGTGTACTAAATACAATGGAGACAGAATAAAGATCACAGTAGTAGTCTATGCAAATCTAACTTTAATTTTGTTGTTCTTCTTTAGCTTGCGGACGTGGGTTCTACAAATCATCTTCACAAGATCTGCAGTGCTCCCGCTGCCCTACTCACAGCTTTTCTGACAAGGAAGGATCCTCAAGATGCGACTGTGAAGATAGCTATTACAGAGCGCCTTCTGATCCACCATATGTTGCATGCACAAGTGAGTCAGTTGTGAGTTTAATAGTAAAGGACATTGCTTAACCAACCAAGTGCCGTCATTTGTAGCTAGTAGTTTCGGTTGACTTTTTCTGTATTTGCAAAGTACATTTGCAACAGTAAATGAAATTGAAAGGCAGAGGGGGAAAAAATTGACAGTGAATATGGAATGAGCAGAAATGTAATTTTCACATTTGCTTGATATAAATTTGGAAAATATTGCATGTTGGGTAAGTGTGTAACTCTTAATGGAATACATGTATACTTTTCCCATGGCTTTAAAACTCATGCTGGTTATGTATTTTATATGATATAATATCAAAATGAATAACATGAAAAATACAAAGTAGCTTATGAAGATTTGAGTTTTAATTGAAAAGTGATTGGATCTGGCTTAATCTTGCAACTGCAGATAGACTAGCCTGCACAGATAGGTGGTTCGAATAGTGGAAGTCTGCTAAATCCAAAACAGCACCAGATACTCTGTAAATCATACCGCAGCTCATAACAAAGAATTACCATGCTGATGCTATATGTTTAGAAGAACGAAACAATTCCCATACTAGGAAAACTATAAAAGGCAACCTTTAAGGTACATTAACCAATCCTTTTAATTGCACAGAAGAGAAACAGCTCGAGTCAGTTGCAGTAAATACACAGACAATTGTTAGCCTGATGCCTTAATGGAAAATAAATAAAGCTCTTGCCAAGTGAGTTCAAGGAAGCTTTTATGGAGCTTGTTGTAAAAAATAATGAAATGTTTATGTGAAGAAAAATGCTTCAACTATTTTCTGTCTTAGTAATTAGAATACTAGCTGCATGTCCCACTGTGGTTCTGTGCCTTTATGCTGGACTTTTTTTGTTACACAGGACCTCCATCTGCACCACAGAACCTCATTTTCAACATCAACCAGACTACCGTGAGTTTAGAGTGGAGTCCTCCTGCTGACAATGGGGGAAGAAATGATGTCACCTACCGCATTTTGTGCAAGAGGTGCAGCTGGGAGCAGGGTGAATGTGTTCCTTGTGGGAGTAACATCGGATACATGCCCCAGCAATCTGGATTAGTAGATAACTATGTCACTGTCATGGACCTGCTAGCTCATGCTAACTACACATTTGAAGTTGAAGCTGTGAATGGGGTGTCTGACTTGAGTCGTTCCCAGAGGCTTTTTGCAGCTGTCAGTATTACCACTGGTCAAGCAGGTAAGATTTTATCATTTGTATGAATCTCAACAGTGTGAGACTAAGAGAAATTGGGAACATGCAAACCACAGGTGTGGTAAATCAGGAACATGTTTGGTGCATTTGGGCTCGTTAATCTTTTTGCTTTGCCAACTCCTTAATTTGAGTCTATACTATTTCTTGGTGAGCTCTTCTGTTTATTGGCTTCAGGATTGCTTTCAGAAAGCTGCATGAAAATCTTAAAGAGGACATAATTTTTTTATTAAATATTTTTATTATTTAACTTTATTTATTCAACTTTATAATAAAATAGATTTTTTAAATTCTGCAATTTTTTTTTATTACATCATTGTATGCTATTCCCTAGTATTTGAAGAAAAAGTAGATATGACAGTCTTATGCAGGCTTCCTTTCTGAATATTTTAAACCTGTATAGGAGTCCCAGGTCATTAGAAGATGATTTGGATATGTTATGGTGTTTTTGGTGTTCATGTTTTCCCTCAGGATTACATTTCTAATTTATCTTGTATGTCAAAATATCTGATTATGAGATTCAGTGAGAATGTGATGGTTAGTCTTTGTTTCTTCTGCTTATCATAATCTGACAGGTGAAATGTCAGGGAAAATAAAATCAAACTAGCGTATCACCCCAGGGGGAATAGGGCTTTGGTTGTCTGTATACTCAGGGAAAAAATAGGATTCTCAGATTTGGGACTCTGAAATGGTAAGTTATTTCTTGATAAAAAAACATAGGCCTCTGAATCTGCAGTATATCACAAAAACTAACTTTTTATATTCTTTTATCTTAAACCAAACATTAATTGCAAGATCTGTCTGTCAAAGAAGTGCCTTAAAAATTATATGAATAACTGATGTTTGCTATAAGAACAGCTATTCAGTGTTTTAAAGAATATTTCATATTTACATCTTGGAGGAAATTTTTATTGTGATCAGATTATTCTTTTTTTTATATTTATATATATATATATATATTTATATTTATATAATTTCAGGTAGAATTATTCCCTTATACTATTGCTTGATACTGAAGACAAAATTACCATACATTTTCACTGTTTGTTGATTGCTGCATGAACAATCAAGGAAAACTTGGCTATTTAGTTAATTTACACTTTAAAGATAGTAATTTAAAAAAAGACAAGAAATTTTACTTCACTTCCTCTTCCTCACTCCTCACCTACAAACCCAGGATGTTTTGTGTAGTTACTAAAGTTAGTCTGGAATGTTTTGGGGATATTTAAATTCCTTGTACTGCTTCCCTGCATAGCAAATCCACATTTTATATGATTTTGTAATCAATTCTGCCACTGAAAGATTTGCTCTCTGTATTAATTTTGGGAGTTCCATTTGCACACAAAGAACTTACTCTGAAACTATTATTGTTCCACAGAGTATATTATTTTAGCATCTTGACTTTTCATCTTTAAAATAATTATTTGTAATTTTTCAAGGATTCTTTTAAAGCTGAAGCTTTGTCTGTTTAGAACTTCTGGTATCATAATTTAAAAGCTTCCAGTTGGGCATATAGAAAGAATATATACATAAGAAACCGATTTTGAAAAAACAAACAAACAAAAAAAACAGCAAAAAAAGGCTCTCTTTGTTACAGTTTTCTCCATCTGTAAGATGAAGGTAACCCTTATCTTATTTTATGAAGCACTTCAAGGTCTTCCAATTAGAAGTGCCATGAAAATGAAGCCTATTTCACCAGAATTACAAAATTCATGCTAAAGAAAATAGTCTTTCAGAAAAAAAAAATAAAATGGATTCACAAAAAGGAAAGACCTCTTTCACATTATTTTTACAACTGCATATTGTGGATCCTAATTCTGATTTCTTTGATTTCTCAAGGAGGAAAATATTTTAGGTGGAACAGATTGATGACTATAATTGAACAGAAAGAGGCTGGTTGCTCAAAGGAGACTGCTATGCTTCTGTGCTATTTTATTTTACCATGGAGAGAAGGAAAATGTTGGATTTATTTATAGCTGAGTAAACTAGGATTCATGCAGCTTTCATTTGTTACTATGTGACTGCTCTCTACTTTTGGGAAAAAGGATTTTTTCTATGCCCATATTGCTTTTTATGTGTGTAAATGTGTCTAACTAAACCTTCCTTACATGTTATTGTGCTAGCACAATAGGTGGCTATATATAATTACTGAGTTCACCAATTGCACAGAGGCTTGCAGTGAGATTTTCCTTTAGCAGTTTTGTTTTAATTGAATTGAACCTTCCTGGTCATATTCACAAAATTCAGAAAATTTTCTAACGATAATGGGAAACTATTGATAAAATAATGGGATTTGGAGGTATATTTAGTGTTTTCTTCACCTGCATATAACTAGCTTCCGATGTAGCTGAGGGAACATGTCACAGAAAATATCCAGGTGGTTGATTAAAAAAAATATGGTATTTGTGAAAGTAGCGTAATAGATTGAGTACAAGTACATACATGAGCAGTTGTGAAATGCTACCTTCCTACATGTGACCCAGTGCTGTTAATTCCCTGTGTTAACACCGTTCTGACCAGGCTATCAGTTGTCCTATGATGTATTTTTTATGCTGCAGACATGAACCATGAAGCTTTCTATTTCACTCCTTTTTTTGTTTGTTTGTTTTTGTTTATGTTTTTTTGACAAAAGCATGGAAGAACTGAACCAGAATCACGTGTAAAAGATGAAGTACACTTATTCTCCCAGGAGTAAGCCATCTTGTTTCATATCTTGCGTATTCAGCATCATGTAAAGATTACAAGATGTCATCCCTGCATTACAAGCTGGTCTATGTAACCCATGCATCCTTGTCGAATTCAGATTTAAATGTGACTGAGCCCTAGATACAATAGAGGAATGTACTGAAGAGATGCAGCTGGTGAACAGCTGACAACCACAACCTTTGCAAGCTTATTGAATGGTTGCTTACTGAACATAAAATTTGCTATTCCCCAAGTAGAATATTTGTTTTCAGACGGTACTGGAAGTTCCTTTTGATCATTCAAACTCCTTTTCAAATTTTATACTTTTTTCCATACATATGTCAAAAGGCTAGTGGAACTGGTTAGGCTTTATGACAGATGAATATTTGTCAGATTTTGGCACTTACACAACTTCAACCTGTGAAAAAATATGAGTTTCAACAGTAATTGTATCTTTTGCAAAGATACTGTGTATTTAAAACTATCCTTCTCCATCCATTCCTTTGAAGTCTAAGTGGACAATGGATAGATCTCTGGTAATGAATGGGATTCATCCAAATTACCTTGATTCTGTAAAAATTAAGATGTATTGGATGATTGCCACCATTCATCAGTGTTTGAGAAAATTTAAGCATCTGTCCTGATCCAGTTTGAGCTGTCTTTATAATCACTGGAAGGAAAAAAGCATATCCAAGGGAACACACATCATGTCTTACTTCTGTAAGCAAACATGACAAATGAAAGTTAAAATGTAATGCTCATGTCTGCTCCTAAACATGCTCTCTGTCCTCATGAAGGGTGCATTTCCTAACACTCACTCCTTCACAGCAGGAGAAAAATTCCCTACAACATTTTTAGCTTATGCTGCCCCTTCTGATGCATTTGATGCTGACAACTTGAAGTGATTAAAAAACGTGATTCAGTTCCATAATTAAGACATGGTCTTAAAAATCATTGTTTTTTAGTCACAGTTTATTTTTATATGCTGATTTGTTTTCTCTTTTTTAGACCTCCTAGAGTTCATATTTTCTGACCTTTTTTTACAAGAAGCAGATCCTATGCCTCACACAGCTGAATGAATGAATGAATGAATGAATAAAAGTCTTTCAAAGTTGCATTATCCCAGCAATTTGAAAGGAAAAACATTACATGCTATAAAATCAGAACTATTAGCAGCAGAAACATTGATTTACATGGCAAGAAGAAATGAATGAAAACACAACAGAAAAAAAGCTATCCCTTGTGTTAAGCTATGTGATAGGTTCTGCCTTTCTTAGACACTCAGATACTTCAGAATTCTTGCTGAAAGAGAGATGTTCTGAATTCTCTGTTACTCTCCATTCCCCTTTGCTTATTGCTGCTCATTGTTTTCCTCTTCTTTTCTTTTGTGTGGATTTTTTCCAGCTCTCAGTTACCCTCATTCATTTTTGAAAGTTTCTTCTTTCATAGTCTACACACTATTGACCATCTGTTTGCTTCCTGTTCTCTGTCTTAAACCTGACTTTTATTTAGCAATGAGCTGTCTCCCAGCAGAGGCAACAATCAAGAAAATTTGTGGCTGTGCCTTTCCCAGTCTTTTTGACCTCACTGTTGAGTACTAGTTTTCTCTCCATCCCCCAGACCGTTATAATGTCTTCCCATTCTGTTTACAAGTTCTTTTAATCTACTTTTCATCTATATCTTCCATCCAGTGGTCATGTCTGGTGATACATGACTATTTACTATTATTATTTACTATTATTATACTATTATAAGTAGCTCAATTGTTCAACTGGTCACTTCGGGTATATTTTCCCATTTAAACGACCTTCCTTTCGGTTCAGGTTTCTTTTGGTTTCCTGCTAGTGACTTTGCTTTCTGAGTGCTATTTCATCATGTAGCCTTCAACTGCTGATCAGCTTTCCCACAGTGGTATGAGTACATTATATACATCAAAACAGTGCTTCATTTAAAAACAATTGCAGTTATAAAAAAATATGTATATATATTTTTTTTATTAAATGTATTCAACCTGTTGAGCTTAGAGAACTATTTCCTGTAGAAGGGTGCTTCTGAACACTAATTTTTCTTAATCCCTTGTGTTAAATTTTGGTTCTTAAAAACATGTATGCTACAATGGCTGTTATTTGGGCTCCCATTTTGCTTTGTTTATTTAAGGAGAGTTACAATGATGATGATGCTTATTATTATTTAAGATATTTTATAATCTGTTTTAACTTTTCTTCTGGACTAGTAGGCAGACAGCATGTTGCTTTTGTAAATGTTCTGCACACCATGGCCACCAACTTAAAAGTGTAAAACCAGAACAAAATGAATATCATAGTTACTATTCCTCTATTTTTTATA